GTCCACCTGGAGATCCTTTCACACCGAGCGGAAGACAGAACCAGCCACAGGTTTCATCGATGGTGACTTGATTGAGAGTTTCCTGGATATCAGCCGCCCCAAGATGCAGGAGGTGGTGGCAAACCTACAGGTGAGCTGTGTGTTGTTTAGCCCTGGGCCGGACAAGTCCGGTGCAGGTTGGGGCATGCCAGGAGACTGTCTCTGGGCACCTCTCCCCCTCAATTCCAAGGTGCGAGGGGCCCTCTGTGTAATCCTTACCAGGTAGAAGGTGGAGTCTGAGGGAAAAGAGATGTTTGTGGTTGTGCCTTGTGGGTATCTACTAGGTACCAGATGCTGTGCTAGTAACTCTACCCATGTTAACCCCATCCTTGAGCAATGAAGACACATCTGGGATCTCTGGCAAGACCCAAAGGTAGGAGGCAGGGTCAGGATCCTATAGGGAGGAGAAATGGCCACTATTCTGGAGTTCAGGATATTGCTCACTGGAGATGGTGTCTCGGGGACAGCAGAAGAGGGAGAATCTCGAAGAGGGAGAAATAGACCAGGTGGTGTCCTTGCTGACCTGTACCACTCAGGGGGAGGTGTGGGTTTCTGGTGAGTCCTTTCTCTGCCATGACGATGGTGGAGTCTTGTGCCTCCTTCACTGGGGGCATTCCCTTCCCCAGTTGTGGGTGAGCACCCTCTTGGTCCTCACAGCCCCGCCCGTCTTCTCATTGCAGTATGACGATGGCAGCGGTATGAAGCGAGAGGCCACTGCAGACGACCTCATCAAGGTTGTGGAGGAGCTAACTCGGATCCATTAGCCAAGGGCAGGGGGCCCCCTTTCTGACCCTCCCCAAAGGCTTTGCCCTGCTGCCCTCCCCCTCCTCTCCACTATTGTCTTCTTGGCCATGGGAGGCCTTTCCCTAAGCCAGCTGCCCCCAGAGCTGTAGTTCCCCTACGTGGAAGTGGGGCGGGCTTCATAGAGACCTGGGAATGAGCTGAAGGTGAAACATTTTCTCCCTGGATTTTTACCAGTCTCACACGATTCCAGCCATCACCTTGGACCACCAAGCCTTGATTGGTGTTGCCAGTTGTCCTCCTTCCAGGGAGGGATTTTGCAGTTCTTTGGCTGAAAGGAAGCTGTGTGTGTGTGTGTGTGTGTGTGTGTGTGTGTGTGTATGTGTGTGTGTGTATATCTCACACCCATGCATTGTCCTCTCTTTATTTAGATTGGCAGTGTAGGGAGTTGTGGGTAGTGGGGAAGAGGGTTGGGAGGGTTTCATTGTCTGTGAAGTGAGACCTTCCTTTTACTTTTCTTCTATTGCCTCTGAGAGCATCAGGCCTAGAGGCCTGCCAGGCCATGGGCAGCCTGTGTGTAAAACCTGGAGACGGTGGATGATCCCCACACCACAGCCCTTTTGTCTCTGCAAACTGCCTTCTTCGGAAAGAAGGAGGTGGGAGGATGTGAATTGTTAGTTTCTGAGTTTTACCAAATAAAGTAGAATCTAAGAAGAAAGGTACGTTTGTTTTTGCTTTTATTCCCCCTGCCCAGCTATCCAGGACCTCAGGTATACTGTTCCTAATTTACTGCGAACGTAGGCAGTATCCTACTCTTTATGGCAGCTGTTGCATTCACTTGCCCTTGCTGTTAGAACAACTCTTTTCAGGTAGTGAAAGTGAAGACATCTATACCTCTTCTTGATCACGTGATTGTTTGATGGGATCCCAAGGATGATGGGTTTAGAAATTCACTGGTCTTTTTGGTTGTCGTTGACACCATTTGATTCTTACTTGCCTCTGCCAGTAACCTGCTGGGCCTGGGCTGCCTTTCCTGGTTTTACAGCCAGTTGTGTGTGCAGTGTCTAGTCATCTAGCCCCCAGGCCACCTAGTAGCTTTTCATGTGCCTTCCAGCTGCTTGTTGCCACATGCCCTTTGAACCCTCATTTTGTTTCCTCTGATCGAATCAAGTGACCATTTGGTGCTTTCGGTTTGAGAATACAGCAGGAGTAGGGCATATATGGGGTTCACTCTTCTGTCTGGCAAACAAAGCCTGTCTTCTTTTCAGCTCGGTGGGCCAGTGTCTGGGCCCACGTTTCTCCCAGTGATCCAGTGGGAAGAAAGGCTGCTCTGTCCCCACAGTGGAGTAGGGTTGATCCTAGGCATATTGGTGGCTCCTTTAAGACCAGCCTTTGATACAGTGTCAGGAAAATTGTGGTTACAAGTTCAAATTGTGGTTTTGAGAGATTCTAGCTTAAAAGGAAAACAGCAAAGAAGCATCCCTGGTTTGAGGGTCTTCTGGAGGAAGTTTCCTTCCCTGAAGGAATTCCTTGTGTTTTACTACCCTTTTTTCCCCTTAGTCTTCTGAGAGTTCTGGGGGTGGGGGATAAGGTCTTAACAAAAAATAATCAGCATCTCAAAAACCACAGTTTGAACTGGAAACCTAACATTGTGATTTGAATTCTAAAAGTCATGGTTTGAATTTGAAAGGGCCTCCCCGCCCCAGAGGCCAGCTTTAATGAGGCAGGCAAGCAACAGTCTCCACATTGTAAAAATTTAATCCTAGGTGGGAGCGCTGACTATAAGGTGTCATGATCAGAAAGACGGAATGTGTTGGGATGATCATTCTGGGGCACTTTCGTGGTCTGACCTGCAGCTGCTGAGACCTGCTATTGAAGAAGGTTGTCAATGACTTGTCTTGAATTTGGAGGCTTGTGGAGTCCTTGCTATGTTTTGCTGTTTTTTTGTTTCATACACTCTTGGGTATATTCACTCGGGATTGAATTCCAACTTCGGAAACATGTTCTGCTGCCATACTCCCACATCCCCTCTTAAAAACCATTAATCACCTCTCTAGGGTGAAAGGTTGTCTTTGGAGCATGGCTCTAGCCAGCTGGAACAGCTCCATTCCATGTAGGCGCTGATGAGCTAGCATCACTTCAGGCCTCTGCACGAAGGGACCTTTGGGAGAATAATAGAAACACTGACTCATCACATGACCATTTGGAGGGATCACAAGCCAGAGGCCGTCATTCTGCAGCCAACAACAACTTGGATCCTCCACCCTCGGTGGAGGGTCCCTTTTGTTACCGAGAAACCACAAGCCACAGAAGTGGGGAAGGAACACAGGAACTGCAATCAAGGGATATGCCTGAACTAGTCTTGAACAATAGTAAGAGACTCTGTGTCCAAACTGAGAAACCTCAGGGTCAAACAAAAAGACAAGAAAAACAAAAACCAAACTAAAGGGGCAAATGTTGATAGGAGCAAGGTGAATGCCATAAGGTCACCACAACTTTATGGGGAAATGAAAGAAATGCCAAGGGCAGTTTGGACGTTATTTGGAGATTCACTAACAGGAATTTACTATGTATTAAGTATCCTGAATTCCTTAGGGTAGATGTGGGTTTTCTTCAAGCACAAAGTTGCATCTCAGCTATTGCAGCTGCTCTTTGGCCAATATGGAGCAAACTGCCAGAGAGTGAGTTTTACAGGGTGAGGTGGAGTGGGTGGGACTCCATAATGTAGCTAAGAACAGAGGTAGCTGAGGTGTGCTGGAGTGTGAGAAAGAAGATGGCATGAAATATGGCAGTCATGTGGACACTTGTTCTGTGTATGCCTGTTGAAAATTTGGGTAGCTCCCCTAGGGCCAGGAAGAAAGAGCACCTATTTGACATTGGTGGTTTAGGGGCAGTGGAGGGGGAAAGTGCAACCTTCAGATGTTTGGGGAAAGAGAGAAAGATGCCTTAGGATTCTGAGAGTCCTTGGAACTCAGAATGGATATGATGGAAGTGGCATTCATCTTATATTACAGAATATTTTGGCTCCTACTTGTTGAGAATATGTTGACTAGATTAGAAAATGGGCCAAAACAAACAAGGTGAGATAAAGCCTCAAGGTGAATGTCTGCAAAAATGTAGCCACACAGGTTCAGGTAGGAAGACCACTTGGCAGCTTGTGTTTAAATAACGTAAAAGCACAACAAAAAATGCCTGCGTTTTTTGTTTTTGTTTTTGTTTTTTTTGAGACAGTCTTGCTCTGTCACCCAGGCTAGAGTGCAATGGTACCATCTTGGCTCACTGCAACCTCTGCCTCCCGGGTTCAAGCGATTCTCCTGCCTCAACCTCTTGAGTAGCTGGGATTACAGGCACCCGCCACCGCGCCCAGCTAATTTCTGTATTTTTAGTAGAGATGGGCTGTCACCATATGGCTAGGCTGGTCCGGAACTCCTGACCTCAGGTAATACACCCGCCTTGGCCTCCCAAAGTGCTGGGATTACAGGCGTGAGCCATCACACCGGGCCACCTGCGGTTTTTCTTGACTGCAAACTCAGTGTGTCATAGTTAACATCATGGGGTTGCCAAAAGTAATATTAGGGTGCATTAGTAAATATGTTGTCTGCAGGAAGGAGGCATGAGTCCAGGCCACCGCTGGTATGCCATGTCCATTTGTGGCCACCAATGTTAAGCACCTCAGTAAAGGCAGAGGTAGCAGGAACGCTAAAGGACCTGGGATTGTTCAGCTGGGAAGTGAAGACACTTTAAAACACATGTGGTTCAAAACTGGATGGGCTGCTTCTTAACAGGTAGTGAGTTTCTTACCCCTGGAAGTATTTAAGCAAAATCTTGACTAATTGTGAGTGGCTAAGGGAAAGATTACTGCATGGAGCAGAAGGTAAAATCAGTTATCCTTTCAGCTTTCTCCCAGCGGGATGATTTTTATTTCCACGCACCCATTTCCGCACCCCTTCCTTACCTAAAACCCTACGCGGACCCCCAGTCTCTGACCACAGCCTGGGGCAGCTGCAGAAGGGGCAAAGAGGAGCGTTCCAGATCTGCTTCTGCCTCTCCACTGCCAACGGCGCCAGCTGCTTCATCGCCTTGCCACCAGCAGTCGGGAGGCCAGCCATCTGCCCCCTGGGTGCCCAGAGGAGGCCGGGGCTTCAAGAGTGGCTAGGGCCCCCGGCCAGGGAGCGGTTGGACCTACAGATCAGCGCACGTCGGCCAGGGGGCGGTTGGACCTACAGATCTACGCACTCCGGTGTTAGGGTGCAGACCTGCTGGTAGGCTGGGGGCAGGCCTAGAACTGCCCAGCGGCGCAGCGATCTGGCGTCCTGGGTTCGAATTTCCACGGTTCCCACCTCATGAAAACAAGGCGTCTCAGGTCCCACCGACAGGGGCCATGCCCAGGGCGCGCAGCCTCGGGCGCTAGCCTTATTCCTGAAGTCTGTTTCCTCCTGGGGCCTCGGTCTGACGCCCTCAGTCAGCGCTTCGCAGGAAGCCGACTCCCAAACCCGGGCAGGGGGTGTGGGCCAAGGGCGAAACCCCGCCCCCAGGGGTCCCTGATCTTTGCCCCGGCCCCGGGCTCGGCGCCTCTCGGAGAGGCATCAGCAGGCGGACGGCGTTGCCTTTGTGTGTTTCGCTTCGAGGTGCCGGAGACCCTCCCCAAAGCCGTCCGCCGCGTCCCCTCGCGGCCCTCGGCCCCTCCTCTCGGCGTCCCCAGCCCCCCTGCTCAGCTCCGCTTGCCAGTTCGGGAATTGCTGGTTCGCTCCCCGCGGCGCCAGGAGGAGGGGCGAGAGCCGGCAGCCCCCTCCCCCGCGCGCGGCGCAGGAGCTGAGCCCAGCCCGGGGGACCCGCCGCCGCCGGTCATGTGGGCCGGACTGCTTCTTCGGGCCGCCTGTGTCGCGCTTCTGCTGCCGGGGGCTCCAGCCCGAGGCTACACCGGGAGGAAGCCGCCCGGGCACTTCGCGGCCGAGAGGTAAGCGCCCCGAGCTCCTCCCCGCCCCCTCGCCCGGGAGAGCGCTACCCGCGTGCAGCTGAGAGGCGCGGAGGGGCGCCTAGCAGCCGCAGGCAGCCACGGGTCGGGGCTTCCTCTGGGGTGCTATCAGCGCGGGCATAGCTCGGGGACGGGACAAAGAGACAGCAACTTGTGCCTCTAGGCGGGTGCTCCTCGTGCGCCCCTGGCTGGGGCTGTCCTGACCGGGACCTAGGGGGACGGAGGTCCAGGCGCTGGGTGACTCCTAATGTGCCCTGGAGCGCGGACCTCCGGAGAGGGGAGCCCAGGACGTGCCATCTGGTATCCGGACTGTCTGGCTCACCCCGCAGCGTGCCCATGGCTCTGCCTGGGCAGCGCCTGGCCTCCCCCACTGCGCGGGGCTTTCCCTAGGTCTTGGCCCTAAGAACGTCGTGGACCTTGGAACCGCCGGGGTCTCTGGGTCACCTTTCGTTTTCTGTCCGTGCGTGCGTGCGTGCGTGCGCGCGCGGCGGGGTGGGGGGTGGGGGTGCATGCCCCTCCGCCGTCTTTCGCGAGGAATGCCGCCCTCCGCGCGTGCTTTCCCCCGGACTGCGGCGGCGGGGCGGTGAGCGTGTGTGCGTGATGCTGGGAGCTAGGGAACACAGTGTCAGCGGGCGGCCTGGCCCGCGGCCACGTCCTCCGGGGGGCGCGCAGCGGGGGCGGCCCGGCCAAGCTTGCAACTCGCACGTGTGTTCCACAGCCACCGCCAGTTCCTGCTCAGATCCGGCCCCGGCGCCGCAGCGTTCCACAGACTCCCACCACCTGTCCCTCTGTCACCAGCCCTAGGAGGCTCCTTGGGGCGCTCTGGCGGGTGCTCGGTCCCGGCTCACCTGAGAGTTCGACTCCATCAGCCTCCCTGGGCACCCTTTTATCTGCCGCCTTGGTGGCACTGCCTGTCAGTTTCTGAGAGTCCCAAGGCTCCGCTCATTCTCCTGGTCCCCTCCTTGTCAGACTGCTGCCATAATCACTCCAGCAAGGGGGTGGGTGAGGCTTCACTGCCAGCTCCCGCCAGCAGGAGGGCCCCCCTTTCTTCTGTGATGACCTCAGAGAGGGAAAAAGGCCCCAGGGACAGCTTTCCTCAGACTTTTCTGTGCTGCCATGGCGCCCTGAGCTTCCTTTTCCGGAATACTTGTCACATTTTGGCACAGATTCTTCTCCCCAAGAACACGATAAGTTTGCCTTGTCCCATGTCCCCAGTGCCTACTGCGGTGCGCAGCGCAGAGTGGGTGCTTTACAGAGTGCCTGCCTCACAGCATCATCTTCCCTCAGCTCTCAACACTGGTGGAACACCGTTGGGAAGGGGTTTCTTGTCCCTTTTCTGTTGCGGTGGGGTTGGAAGCTCAAACCAGGCTGGATTTCATCACCCTCTGTCCAGTGCATGACTGGAGCTGGTTGCAGTTGTCCTCTCTGTCCCCCTCGAGGCCCTGCAGTTGTGCTGTTTCTCCTGCTGGAACACCCTCTCCCTTCCTCTTCTTTTGCTGGCTGCCCCACGTGTTTTTTTTGAGACAGAATCTTACTCTGTCACCCAGGCTGGCGTGCAATGGCTTGATCTCGGCTCACCGCAAGCTCCGCCTCCTGGGTTCAAGGGATTCTCCTGCCTCAGCCTCCCAAGTAGCTGGGATTACAGGCATGCGCCACCATGCCCGGCTAATTTTGTATTTTTAGTAGAGATGAGGTTTCCCCATGTTGGTCAGGCTGGTCTTGAACTCCTGTCCTCAGGTGATCCGTCCGCCTCAGCCTCCCAAAGTGCTGGGATTACAAGCGTGAGCCACCGTGCCCGGCCTGTATTTTTTTTTTTTTTTTTTAGTGGAGACAGGGTTTTGCTGGGTTGACCAGGCTGCTCTCAAACTTCTGACCTCAAGTTATCCACCTGCCTTGGCCTCCCAAAGTTTTCTCTCTGACCTCAGCCTAGATGCTGCCCTTCCAGGAAACCCCCCGACCCTCCTCAGGGCTCCACAGCCCATTCCATTATGGCATTTGTCACTCTATGCTGTTATCATCTGGCTCCTGGTCTGCCCTACGTTCCTTGAAGGCGGGGGCAGTAGCTTGTTTATGGCTGTATGGTCACGCCTCACTCAGCACCCAGCACCAGTTGGATGCATCTGGCTTCCCACCCTTTCTGGACCTCATTCCTGGTTGAACAGACCCCCACTGCCTCCAGTTTTGGGCGGCTCACTGATGACCCCACATCCACCCCAGAGATGTCACCTATGCCATTGCCCTTCTCAACCTTTCCCTCAACAGCCATTTATTGAACACTCACTATATGCCAGGCACTGCTCTGGGTGCTGGGGTAAATAGATAAGAAACCCTTGTCATCAGGGAGTTGTAGGGGAGACAATGAATTCATAAATTAAAAACTAATCTATTGTCCCAGGAAGTAAATGTTGTGGAGAATAAAGCAAAGTAAGGGTCGACAAGGAAGGCCTCTCTGAGAAGGTGCCTTGGGCAGAGATCTGGGTGAAGGGAGAGAGAGAGCCCAGTGTGTGTCTGAGGATGAATCTTTCTTTCTTTCTTTCTTTTTTGAGATGGTCTGGCTCTGTCACCTAGGCTGGAGGGCAGTGGCACCAACTTGGCTTGCTGCAACCTCTGCCTCACAGGCTCAAGCCATTCTTCCACCTCAGTCTCCCAAGTAGCTGACCCTACAGGTGTGCGTCACCATGCCCAGCTAGTTTTTGTGGAGACGAGGTTTCGCCATGTTGCCCAGACTGGTCTCAAACTCCTGGGCTCAAAATGGTCATCCTGCTTCGGCTTCCCAAAGTGCTGGGATTACGGGCATGAGCCACTGCACCCGGCTGTAAGAACCTTTCTTAGAGCAGGAACTGTAAGTGCAAAGGTCCTGAGGCAGCCACCCCGGGGCTCCACATCCATTGCACAGCCTTTCTTCAGCTCTGAGGCCCCTCTCCTGGCCACTCTGCTGTGTGTTCATGTGGCAGATGTCTGTAGGAGGCCAGTATCTATTGTCTCACACTAGTCTGTCTTGCCTCCCGGAGAGACTGTCTGGGTCATTTTTCTTTGGCACTTCCCATTGCCCCTCCGGACAGTTCTTGAGAACTGTTCGTTGATTGACTTACAGACTGGCTGGGAGACTTTCCTGTTGACCAATGTCTCCTTTAGTATAGAATGAGGAAAGTGCTTTCTCTTCTCTTGCAGACGCATGCTGGGCCCCCACGTCTGCCTCTCTGGGTTCGGGAGTGGTTGCTGCCCTGGCTGGGCGCCCTCTATGGGTGGTGGACACTGCACCCTGCGTAAGTGCTTGTCCCTGTGCCCCAAGCCTTCTCCTCCAGCAGTGTGTGTTGCCAGCCCTCAGTCCCTTGTCCGAGGGGCAGACGGGGGTCCCCAGTCCCTTGTCTCTCACCTGCACTTCTCCTCTCAGCCCTCTGCTCCTTCGGCTGTGGGAGCGGCATCTGCATCGCTCCCAACGTCTGCTCCTGCCAGGATGGAGAGCAAGGGGCCACCTGCCCAGGTAACTGGGGATGGGCAGTGGCTGATGGGAACAGATGAATGAGCACTGAGGTTATGTGCTGGGCAGTGAGCACTTGAGATGGGTCCTGGCATCTCAGCTTCAGACAACTCTATTAGGTAGACATTTTGTGCCCATTTTATAGATGAAGAAACTGAGACACAGAAGTTATTGTCTTGCCCCGGGTCACACAGCTGGTAAATGGCAGAGCTGGATTTAAACCCAGGCCTGTTTGCCTTCAGAGCTACCCTCCCAACAGAATTCAGGAGGATCCTGGTGAGGTGGGGGTGGCTGGGACTGCCACAGGGTACACGCTTACCCATGCGATGCCTGCTCTAGAAACCCACGGACCATGTGGGGAGTACGGCTGTGACCTTACCTGCAACCATGGCGGCTGTCAGGAGGTGGCCCGAGTGTGCCCCGTGGGCTTCTCGATGACGGAGACAGCTGTTGGCATCAGGTGTACAGGTGAGACCTCTGGGAGTGGTGGGAGAGGGGGACAGTGGGAATTATATCTCCTCCCCATCCTGCTAGGATGGTCTCCAGTGTATTGCAAGAGCCAGGCTGAGCCAAGATAGGCTCTCATGTATCAGAGTGGGCAGAGAGACACAAAAACAAGAGAAATGTGTCACTTCTGTTATTTTACAAATATATATATATCTTAGGGGCAGGAACTGAGCTAGGGACTGCGGTTATGGGAGCCACAGTCAGTCCCTGTTAGGGAGTTTTTTTTTTTGAGACGGAGTTTCGCTCTTTTGCCCAGGCTGGAGTGAAGTAGCATGGTCTCAGCTCACTGCAGCTTCCACCTCCTGGGTTCAAATGATTCTCCTGCCTCAGCCTCCCGAGTAGCTGGGATTACAGGCGAGTGCAACCATACCCAGCTAATTTTTGTGTTTTTAGTAGAGATGGGGTTTTGCCATATTGGCCAGGGTGGTCTCGAACTCCTGACCTTGTTATCTGCCCACCTCGGCCTCCCAAAGTGCTGGGATTACAGGCGTGAGCCACCGCACCCGGCCCCTGTTAGGGAGTTTCTGAATATGAGGAAGGAAGACAAGTAACAGCACAAGAACAGCCCAGTTGTCGTGGGGACTTTAACTGGGAAGGGCAAGGTGCCAGGGTCCACAGAGGGGCATGGAACCCAGAGTCGGTCGGGTTGGCCAGGGGAGGCTTCTTGGGAAAATAACATTTGAAAGATGAGGGAAGCTAAACTCAATAATTATTTTGTGAATGTATTATTTGTTTATGATTTTTAAAACGTTTCTACGGACAAAATCTGTTACCTTCCCCAGAAACAGCCACTGTGACCAGTTTCTTGCCAATCTTTCCAGAGCGACAAAAGCCTTTTTGGAGTTTTAACTTGGTAAAAATAATGTTTCTCCCCCTGAATAGAAAATCAGGAGATAGTTCACTGTAGAACATTTGGAAAGTAAGAGGAGAAAAATGAAAATAAGCATTCTCTGGAAGTCCCCACCCGGAGATATTTGTTACTAAAATCTAGTTTTTTTTCCTGCCCTTTTCCCTGGGTGTGTCTGTGTTTGTGTGTATATATGTATGTTAAGCATGCATAGATGTATGCTTTATAAAATTGGGGTTGTATCTTACCTGTAGTTTTTATTATTTCTCCTATCTTATTTTATGTTGTAGGTATCACTAACAATTTCTTGCAACGTAATTTTTTTTTTTCCGCTGGGCTTGGTGGCTCACGCCTGTAATCCCAGCACTTTGGGAGGCTGAGGCGGGTGGATTACTTGAGTTCAGGAGTTCAAGACCAGCCTGGCCAACATGGTGAAACCCTGTCTCTACTAAAAACACAAAAACTAGCCGGTGTGGTGGTGCATGCCTGTCATCCCAGCTACTCAGGAGGCTGAGGCAGGAGAATTGCATGAACCCAGAAGGTGGAGGTTGCAGTGAGCCAAGATCGTGCCACTGCACTCTGGCCTGGGTGACAGAGCAAGACTCTGTCTCAAAAAAAAAAAAAAAAAAAAAAAATTGTTTTTAGCAGTTACATATGTGGTTGCTGTAACTGAAATAAGTATTTGTCTGTTGTCCCTTATTTAAGAGGTTTGCAGTGTTTCACCACTATAAATAATGCTGCCATAAAGAGGCTTCTTGTCGGCTTCTCTGATTATTTCCCAGAAGGACGCTGTTGGGTCCGAGGGTCTCACTAAAGGTGTCTTGGAGTTCCTTGCTTGTTGCAGCATCTCCTCCAGATAGGAAAAACAATGGAAGCAATTATCTGCTCCCGAATACCGTTCACCTTGGGGCGCTTTCTGCATGTACTTCTTATTTCTGAGGCAAACGGAATCAAGGAGAAGCCAGAGAACAAAGTCAGAGCACTTGCAGGACGGGGTGGCACTGACTGTAGCCACTAGACATCCCAGTGGAATGGGGTTAGTCAGGGTGGGTTTCTTAGCAGTGTTGAGCATGGTCTTGACGTCCAGCTGTTGGGAACAGTGGGTAGATGCTGGGTAGAAGGCTAACTAGGGGATAAGGAGAGCGGGGGTGTCCCACAGGCTTGGGGGCCACAGTGGGGAGACTCACTACACAGTGAGTGCAGACTGAGTAGACTGAGCTGAGCCCTTAGGTCCTCAGAAGCCGCCGCAGATCTTTGGCAGGGAAGGGATCGCATGCAGCATGATTTGGGGAGATCTGTCTCCCAGCTCCTGTCATCCCTCAGATCAGAACATCTCCCTAGGCTCGCCTTCCTAAAGTACTACTTGGGTTTAGTCACCACAACTTAGTCTTATCTTTTTTTTTTTTGAGACAGAGTCTCGCTCTGTCGCTAGGCTGGAGTGCAGTGGTGCGATCTCAACTCACCGCAACTCTGACTCCCTGGTTTAGCGATTCTTGTGCCTCAGCCTCCCAAGTAGCTGGGATTACAGGCACGCGCCACTACGCCCTGCTAATTTTTGTATTTTTGGTAGAGACGGGGTTTCACCATGTTGACCAGGGGAGTCTCGATCTCCTGACCTCGTGATCCGCCCACCTTGGCCTCCCAAAGTGCTGGGATTACAGGCGTGAGCCACTGCGCCCGGCCTTAGTCTCCTCTTAGTTCACATCTTCAGTCCTGTCTCCTGCTGCCTCGAAAGGAACCCAAGCTTCAACCAGTCTGGGCCTCAGGACAGTTTGAAAGGAGCTGCTGCCTGGAAGCACATCAGACCCTTTCTTCACCTGGGCAGTCCCTCCCCCGATACTCCTGGTCCTCTCAGCCAGTCGCTCTTCCACGGCATGCCTGCTGGGGCCAGTCTGTCCCTGGTGAGGCATATATCACCCCAGCAGGCACTGTTCTCCCTTGGGTGTGTGTCTTGGCTCCTGTGTTATCAGACTGTGAACATCTGGAGTCAGCACTGTGTCTTACTCACATTTGCGTCCTCAACAGCCCCACTCTGGTCTGCAGCACACAGTTGGTGCTCAGTGAACCTTTAAGAGAATGACTCTGTTGATTATTTAATCGGCCTCCCTGTCCACTGCCCTCTGCCCTTTTGAGGGCCCTTTGGGGTTGCCCTGCAGGCAGGGCCATTGGAAACAGTTGGGTCCGTCTTCTCTCCTCATCTGATCTCCATGAGCTGAAGGGGGCCCCAGTCCCTTGGCCTCTTCCTTCCTGGGGTTTCCTCATAGCCAGTGACCTTCCTGGTGTCTGCTCTTTCTTCCTGGGGTGCAGGTGGGGATTCCACGCTGCCGAGGGCAGGCTTGGTGTGGACTCAGGGTCCTTGTGGGGTTGATTTGTTCCTGAGTCACAGTCATGTTCAGATAGGGCTGTGGAAGGGTGCTTTCTTTTCTTTTTTTTCTTAAGACGGAGTTTCGCTCTTGTCACCCAGGCTGGAGTGCAATGGTGCAATCTTGGCTCACCGCAATCTCCACCTCCTGGGTTCAAGCGATTCTCCTGCCTCAGCCTCCCAAGTAGCTGGGATTACAGGCATGCACCACCATGCTTGGCTAATTTTGTATTTTTAGTAGAGACCGGGTTTCTCCATGTTGGTCAGGCTGGTCTTGAACTCCTGACCTCTGGTGATCCGCCTGCCTTAGCCTCCCAAAGTGCTGGGATTACAGACATGAACCACAGTGCCCGGCCTGCAAGGGTGCTTTCTTCCCAGACACTGACGAATGTGTAAGTTCCCTTGCGAGGACCACTGTGTAAACACGTGCTTTCTCTCTTTCCAGACATTGACGAATGTGTAAGCTCCTCTTGCGAGGGCCACTGTGTGAACACGGAAGGCGGGTTTGTGTGTGAGTGTGGGCCAGGCATGCAGCTGTCTGCTGACCGCCACAGCTGCCAAGGTGAGCTGCAGAGAAGGAACGGCTGCTCTGGGAGGGGTAATGGGGATGCCACATTGAACACTCAGCCCTGCCATGCCCAGCACAGTGTGCTCTGTGCGCCACTGGATTGAACCTTCACCACGGGCTTCTGAGGGAGATGCTGATATGGTTCCTGTTTGACTGATGTGGAGACTGAGGCTTGCCCAAGGCCAAGTCATTAGTAAGAGGTGGAGTCAGAGTTTGAATCCCAGCACATCTAACAGTTGGTTAACGACTGCTGCTGGCCTGGCGGGATGGCTCACATCTGTAATCCTTGCACTTTGGGAGGCCGAGGCGGGAGGA